GGAAAATATCAGAAGTCTACTGAACACGTATCACTTTCACACCAGAGTAAGGGGAAAATATAAATATACAGCATTTCTTTTTTTGTTTGTTTGTTTGGTTTGGTTTTTTCGAGACAGGGTTTCTCTGTATTGTTTTGGACACTCTCCTGGAACTCACTTTGTAGACCAGGATGGCCTCGAACTCACAGAGATCCCCCTGCCTCTGCCTCCCAAGTGCTGGGATTAAAGGCGTGCACCACCAACGCCCGGCTAATATACAGCATTTCTAATCTATAAATTATGAAAAAAGGAGTATTATGAAGCTGTCACAGCTACTGCTTCTCTAAGCATGATTTCTCAGGAAATATTTGGAACTCATAAATTATTCCCATGGTAGTTCTTAGAATCACTTTTGGGGGCAAATATCTACAATTATGACCACTATTTCCATGACTAAAGTGAACATTATAAAATCTCATAAAAAGGATTGGTGGTACACTCTTGTAATGCTACTACTTGGGAGGCAGAAGCCAGTTGACAAGAGTTCATGGTCATTTTCCACTACACAGTGACTTACAGGACAATTTGTACAACATACTGAATTATAGGCCTGGCCTACATAGTAAACCCTGCCTCAAAAACAAATGGGAAAAAATGAAAAACAACAGGAAAGACAAGTTTTGTTCTTTGTTTTTGAGGCAAGGTCTCACATAGCTCAGGCAAGCCTGGGACTTCAGATATAGTTGAAGCTCATATTGAACTTCTGACCCTCCCGCCTCCATTCCTTGAGAGCTAGGATTTCAAGCTTGTGCCACCACACCTGGGTTAAGATTTTTCAGTGTAACCGGGAGTTCGTGGCCCATGCCTTTAGTCCCAGCACTCAGGAGGGAGAAGCAAGTGGATCTCTGTGAGTTCGAGGCCAGCTGATCTACAGAGTATGTTTCAGGACAGCCTCCAAAACAATACAGAGAAATCTTGTCTGGGGAAAAAAAAAAAGATTTTTCAGTGTATCCAAAATACAAGAAAAAAAGGGAATCTGTCAAGGGATGTCCAATTCATTATCAGCCAGAGTCCTACTTAGGTTTTATTGGGGATATTAAAAGTGAACAAGGAAACCAATTTGGTGTCACACTCCTTTAATTCCAGCAGGTGGGAAGCAGAGACAGTCAGATCTCTGTGAGTTCAAGACCAACCTAGTTTACAGAGTGAGTTCCAGGACTGTCTGGGGGTGGGAGGGACCAGCAAACAAAACAAGTTAACAAGTCACTGTTATTGACCTGAAGAAACTTACAAGCTTAAAGGTGGGAAAAACTAGATAGTTAAAGCTGTGAACACGGGGTTAGAAAAGGAGCTGTGTCCACTGTGATAAAATAAAAGGATGAGTGGTAACGAGGAAGAGTGTGGTGAGAACCCAGGAAGAGACACACTGAGGTCTAGGAGCACAGACAGCTCGAGAGGCAGAGCACAGAAATGCAAACGAAGCTGGAGGAGGCACAAATGGCTTTCTTCATAGAGTAGCAGGAAGTCCCTGAAGGGCTTTAAGCAGATTCAAATTCACAGCTGCTGTGCAAAAGTGATCTGGAAGGAACCAGTCTGAAGGAGAGGGGTGATTTAAATTTACCTTTTTTTTTTTTTAACTAGTTTTTAAATTCAAATTTAACTCACTATGCAGACCTCACTGGCCAGGAACTCAGAGATCTGCCTGCCTCTGCCACCTGAGGTGAGTGTACCACAATGCCCACTTAAAACTTCAAATTTAAAACACTTTTGATTTTGGAGATTAGGCCTTTAATTCCATTCTTCAATTACTTAAAATTACTTTTAAATGTATCACAATGTTTGTCTCTTAGCTCAGAAATGCTAACATCTGGCATTTATTGAGCATATAGTATATATTTCAATTCTATTTTAACTGGCTTTCATATGTCCATTTAATCGTTATACCCTGTTGAGTTTGCACAACTATACTTATTTTACAGGCAGGGAAAACGTGACAAAGGTTACAGTGAGAGCAGGGTTCAAACTCAGTTCTGTCTCCAAATTCTGCATCTTACTAATTAGACTATGTATCGCTTTAAAAAATGTTTAGCAGCATGCATGCATACATACACACACACACACACATACATACATACACACATACACACATACATACACACACACAGAAAACAAATGCACCATGGGAAAAGACGCTCAATTGTCCCTAAATATTAGAGAGGAGGAAGGTGCAGAAAGGTGGGTGGGATGGAAACTAAACTGGTAGTGTAGAGACCATGGCAGTGCAGGCTGTCAACCCACTACTTGGTGCATGGAGGTAGCATGCAAACTGACATGACTGCTCCGCGTTGTGGTCAAGGGGAAGGTTTGGATTGTAGATGTGAGAGAGAGAAAAGGCAGCAAACTGGACAAGGCCACAGCCGTCTTCCAGTGAGGACAGATACACAGCAAAAGAAAGAAGCAGGGGCAGAGCCAGCAGGAGAGGGCGGCAGAGAACACGGTGAGAGAGCGGGGTTATTCGGAGAATGAGAGCTGGGAAGAGTTTACGGAGGGGAGGAGAAGGGCTGATATGCTAGCACAGACTTGGAAACGTGTACCAGCTCACCTATGACACCGGGGGAGCCTGGAGCCAGCATCAACTTTGGTATGCTAATAGGTGCCACAGGCTGCCCACATTATGTCCCTTCTACCACAGGTAAGGGAAATGTCTCCTTTTGGTGGAGGGGATCCAGCTTCAAAAATTCCTGTGGAATGCTGGCTTTTACCTGCCAGACCTGTATTTGGACTGCCTTTGGGAGTTTGGTGAATTAGTTTCATTTGGACATTACAGGTAGGACTGTCAGAGTTCGAGGTCAACATTATTTATGTAGTAAATCTGAGGACAGCTAGGTTGCATGTGACCTGTCTGAAGAATACACAAAAATAAGAGATTATGGTAGTTTATGGAGCCAATGATGAAAGGGATGGATTTAGAAGATGATTTCATAGGTAGGACTGACAGGACTTGGTGATGGATTTGATAGGATATTTAAAGGAGAAGAGATGTTTTCATGGATTCTGATTTATATAAACGGGTTACATATAGAGAGGTGCTTTGTCTTGGTCTTGGTTAGGGCAAGATCTGGCTATATAGTCTAGGCTGGTGTTAGGCTCACAGCAATTGTCCTATTTCAACATCCTGGCCTTCCAAGGACTGGGATTATAGGTATGTACCATCTATGCCTCCTATTTCTATTAGAAACTACGAAAGTTTCACTGAATATTAGGACCTGAATGTTATGCTAAAAATAGCATAATAGGACTGAGTATATGTAACTGTGGTTGTGTTTGCTGGAGGAAAAATATAATCCATTTTCCACTTTTTTTTTCCTTTTGGTGTTTTTTGAGACAGGGTTTCTCTGTATTGTTTTAGAGCCTGTCCTGGAACTTGCTCTGTAGACCAGGCTGGCCTCGAACTTACAGAGATCCGCCTGCCTCTGCCTCCCCAGTGCTGGGATTAAAGGCGTGGGCTACCAACGCCCAGCTCACTTTTCACTTTTTGATTAAGTCTTACAAAATGAGACCTAGGGGTCTGGAGAGATGATTCAGCAGTTATGACAGTGCTGACCTAGCATGCTCAAAGCCCTGTGTTGGATGCCCAGTACTGCCTAAAAATAGACTGATCTGCAGAGCATTGGCGCACGCCTTTAATCCCAGCACTAGGGAGGCAGAGGCAGGCAGATCTCTGTGAGTTCGAGGCCAGCCTGGCCTACAGAAGGAGTTCCAGGACAGCCCCCAAAACAATACAGAGAAACCCTGTGTCGAAAAACGAACAAAAAACCTGACGTGGTGGCTGCCACACGCCTATAAGCGCAGTATCAGCACTCAGAAGAAGGAATCAGGAGAATCAGGAGTTCAAGAACATGCATAGTGAGTCTGAAGCCCGCCCGGGGCACCTTTGTTTCACCAACAAAAACACAGCCTGTTAACAACGAGCTCTAGCCACTTGTAGTTTCTTACTCCGCACTTGCCAGAAACTCATCATTTAACTGTGGCAGCGTCGTTTTGAAATGTGGCGTTCCCACTCAGTCCTCTCGGATGCCAACACTGAACCGTAGGCACTCAAGGCCGAAAACCAGGAGTGAGCCTATCCATCCCAACCGTCCATCGTAACTCTCCGTGGGGTACAGCACTGCCTGCCAGGAAACGTGCCGGCGTGTGACACAGCCAAGGCCAAGTTCACAGCAGGTCGGCCGGACAATGGACTCCACGAGCGCGGCCGGAGCTCATCCCCGAAGCACCCCGCATCCGTGTGGGTGACACCACCCGCCCGCTCCGCCACCGCCCAGCGCTGGGGGAAGGGGCGTGGCGCCGGGAACTCCCGCGTGACGTCACGTGACGCCGCAGGGCTCGGGGCCGGGCGGGGCCGCCGCCCTCGGGCCTTCCTCCGGGAGGCTCAGGCCGTCCCCGCCGTGGGTCCGGCCGCCTGGCGAGGGAGGGACGCGGCGAAAGGAGGGCAGTAGCGAGCGGCGGGGCCTTCCCGGCCCGGAGGACATCCGCTCTGTGCCTTGGGCTCTCCAGGGAGGCTCGGAAGCTGTGAGTACGAGGGCTTTCCTTCCCTCCCCTACCCGGCGTGCGGAGTCGGAGCGGCCACTTCCGGTCGGAGCCGCGCTCCTGGGAAGGCTCGGGCGGCCGAGACGCGGGAGGCGTCCGCCGAGGGAGGCTGGGCCCGGGCGGGTCGGAGGACGCGCGCCGGGCTCGCGTTCTACGCTCTTGCGGGCTCCCGCGCGCCTCCGGGAGAGCCGCTCAGCGCGGAGCCCGCCCCCCGCGCATGCGCGCTCGGCGCCCCGCGCGCGCGCCCTCCGGAGCGCCTTCCGTGGGACCCGGGGCGCGGCGGGGGGTGGGGTGGGGGTGGGGGGAGGCGTGTGGAGAGAGGCGGACGGAGACGCGCCGGCTTGGCGGGAGAGCCGCGGCGGGGCTGCGCTTTGCCCGGGAGAGGGACGCCGAGTGTCCTGTGCGTTTCCCTGGTGTGGTGTGACAGCCTCGCCCCGCAGAGCATCCCCAGTGTGGGGGCTGGCGACGCTGAGGACACACGCACGCAGAAGGATGTGTCCTTTGTGTCCGCGGGGCCGGAGACAGGCCAAGTGTTGTGAGAGGGGGGAGGGCGCAGCGCCAGGGATAACGGTTCAGAGCGGAAAGCTGGGCCCCCAGGTGCCGGGCGAGCACGGTACACGGAAAGGATGTGGTGAACCGGAGTTTGCGAAGTTGGTATCGATGGTGCTTTATGTAGCCGTTTAAAAGACAGCAAACAAAAACAGCCCTGAGCGGCCGTGGTTGGTGGCAGCGCACGCAGACGCGAGCGGGTCTTTGTGAGTTCGAGGCCAGCCTGGTCTACGTTCCAGGTAAACCAAGGCTAAATAGTTAGACCCTGTTTCAAAACAACAAAAGCACTGAATTATTGTTAACTGCCTCGCCATTGGTCATTGAGGCGTTTCCTAAAGGATACTTAGATTACACTAATTTTAACTGTCAGTTTTAAGTTTTCCATTAAAGTTACAAAACCTCTCTCCCTCTCTTCCTCTCATTTCCCTCCCTCCTTGCCTCCCTCCCTCCCTCGATTTCTCTTTTCTTGAGACAGGGTTTCTCTGAATAGCTCTGGCCTGGCTGTCTCAGAATTTGCTCTGTAGACCAGGCTGGCCTCCCACTCAGAGATCTGCCTGCCTCTGCCTCCCAAGTGCTGGGATTAAAGGTGTGCACCACCACAGCACGAAATACTTTATTTCTTGCTACAGAGAAGTATAGTTTTGGGCTCAAATCCTAGCCCTGAAATAGCCATGTCCTATCTGTATTGGAGTTGTTTTACCTCTGTAGATAATTCACCAAAATTGTTAATAAACGGATAACCTATATGTTACTTTACATAGCTAAGTATAGTCTCTTACTGACCACAATGTATCTTTTATAGCTAAGTAGTTACAGGCTTGTGAAGCAAAACTGTATTAACACTCTTCATCTCACTTTTAGAAATTAATATGAAACAAATATGAGACATAAGCATTATTAATCCTTTCATATACACATATGTCACTTCAATAATCGCCAAAGTAAGCTGTTCTGCTCTCATTTCTCCACCCACCCCCACTTTCAGGCCAGTTCCACAGACCGCTCGTTTATCTCTAATATTCCTGTGATAGACAGAGCCTTTCAATGGCAAAAGAAAAAGGGGCTGGAAATGTGTCTCAGTGGTGGACTTCTCCCCTAGCATGCCTGAAGCACTGGATTCTTTTCCCAGCACCATAAGAAATAAAATGTTTTAAAAAGAGTAAATGAATATATCACTATTTTAATCCAAGAGATTTAACAATAATAGTGTACCTAACAAAATTAATAAGATTATTTGAAATCTATATATGTTCAGCTTTTTCTAATTCTTTTGAGAAAGTCTAACTGCAATTTTTGTAACACTTAGTCAACATGTGTATTATTTCTGTAGTGCTATATAGGTAACCAAGTGGTTGCACACAATCTTTTTGTTTTGTTTCCCCATGTCAGGGTCTGACTGTCTGGAACTCAATCTGTAGACCAGGCTGGCCGCCTTTAACTCACAGTCCTTTGTTTTCTTTTTCGGGGGAGGGGGGTATTTCAAGACAGGGTTTCTCTGTGACTTTGGAGGCTGTCCTGGAATTAGCTTTTGTAGACTAGGCTGGTCTCGAACTCACAGAGATCTGTGTGCACCACCACCACCACCACCACCACCACCACCACCACCACCACCACCACCTGGCTTTTTTTTTTTTTCTTTTAAATTTTAGATTAGAATAAAAGTAATGGGTTTCTTTTTGTTTTTTGTTTTTGTTTGTTTGCTTGTTTGGTTTTGTTTTTCAAAATAGGGTTTCTCTGTGTTGTTCTGACTGTCCTGGAGCTCAGAGATATGCCGGCCTCTGCTTCCTGAGTGTTGGGTTTAAAGGTGTGAGCCATCATGTCTGGCCAAAGTAATGGGTTTCTTCATATGAAGTGTTATCAGGTTGAATGCACTGATTCTCCTTTGAAAGTTTTATTTTAGTTTTTGTTTCTTAGGCTTATTTTTATTTTTATATATATATATATATGGGTGTTTGCAGGCATGTATGTACCACATGCATGCCTGGTGTCCATGGAGGCTAGAACAGGGTGTCAGATTCCCTAGAACTGGAGTTGTAAAAGGTTGTGAGCTGCTAGGACTTGAACTTAGGTTCTCTGAAAAATCAGCCCGTGCTCTTTCTTTAAAACTGAGTTATTTCTCTATCCTGAAAGTTGTTTTGGTACAGAGTCTATGCATCTAAGGCTAGCCTCAAACTCTGTAGCTGAGAGGAGAGGAACTCCTGATCCTCCTGCCTCTGTCTGAGTGCTAGGATTATAAGCATTCACTAGTAGGCTCAAATTATGGGTGCTGGGAATGGAACCCAGAGCCCTATAAATGCTAGATATACACTTTATCAACTGAGCCACAGCTCCCTCCCCTTCCCTTCCTTTCTCCTCTGCCTCCTCCCATCATTTTCTTGGAGGTCTTGCATAGCCTGGTCTGCCTGCAACTAGCAGCAGTCTTCCTCTCTCAGCCTCCCCAATGCTGAGATTTAGGCATGAGTCACCATGCCCAATAGGTGACTTCTGTAATGGTAGCTAATTAATGGTTTCAGGTAAGAGCACAGTTTAAAATATTTATTAAACCATTTGAGTTTTCTTTAATAGTCTGTTACTTCTATTAGGGGCTACATAAGTTGTAAAGTTAATCATTAATGGTTACTATGAAACAGTCACAAAGTATCTTTACCTTAATAGCTTTGTACCTCTAAATAGAAAGAGTATTCTTTGAGCTTTGCTGTATGTGTATCTTACTGACTTGTTCTCAGAAATATACACAGATCCTCCCATTTTTTAATATGCCAACCATCTGCCCAGTTTTATAACCCATGTACATGTAAATGATTGTAAATCAGGACTATTTGAGAATGTTTTCTAGTATCTGGTTCAGTACAATATTCTACACATTTCTCCAAAAGTTACAGCAGTACTTTTTTTTTTCAATGCCAGGGTTTGAACCCAGGGCCTTGGATGTGCTCAGCAAGCACTCCTTTTCTAATCCACATCCTCATTCCTTGAATATTTATCATTATTACATTTATTTATTTACCATGTGAGTGAACATATGTGCCCGCCCATACCACAGTACACATGTGGAGGTCAGAAGCCAACTTGTTGGAGTCCTTCCCCTTCCAGTAATCAAACTCAAGTCGTCAGGCTTGGTGGTGTTTTTACCTGTTGATCCATATTCCTTCCTTCCTTCCTTCCTTCCTTCCTTCCTTCCTTCCTTCCTTTTTCCTTTTTCCTTTTCTGATAGGATATTGTTATGTAGCCCAGGCTGACCTTGAATTTGGGATCCTCCTGCCTCTTTGGAGTACTGGGATTATAGGCATAAACCAGCATAGCTGGCCAGTAAATTTTATAAGGGTAAATGAATATTGACTGAATGATTATGAACCTTTCAATTTCAACCTTTAACATAACTTAGGTAAATTACTCTTTAGATGGAAAAACTGAAAATCTGCCTGGAGATTTATCCCATATGAAGGCCCAATAACTGAAATTATAGTTTTCTCACTTTTTTTTTTTTTGCTCAGGGTCTCATTATGTAGCCCTGGCTCTTCATGGAACTCACTACATATACCATGCTGGCTTTGAACTCAAAGTTCCGCCTGCCTCTGCCTCCCAACCACACCCTACTCTCACCATTATCTTCTCTTTCCCAACTTCTATCAGATTTTCTGAATGATTGCTTGTAAATAGATAAAGAAAACTTGAAAATATCTGGGCTCCCGATTTCATCCGCATTTCAAATTATGTAAATGGAAATGCAAAATATGACATATTGCAATTTGTCATTTCAGGTATTTCAACAGCCCGAAGACAACTTCACAGCTGTGTAAGGTAACAGGAAAGGTGGGAAGCATCATCAGCAAACGGAAGTGTGACGCCTGCTGGTAGAAGATGAGCATTTCGGGAAGCAGTTGTGGAAGCCCCAACTCTGCAGACGTGTCCAGTGACTTCAAGGAGCTCTGGACAAAACTAAAAGAATATCATGATAAGGAAGTGCAAGGTACATGTCTTGCCTTAGGTGCTTGAGCTATAGCAGTAGAAACTAGCTTTGATTATTTTATACATTTTTAGATAGAAATATCTATTTTATTTAAGGGCAAATGTTGTACCTTTAAAGGGCATTTTCTATTGTAATGTTTTATGATTTGTTTTATTGATGAGTTGTTGTGCTGTATCTATAAGTACTGCAGAGTATAGGTTTTTTTTTTTTACTATTTTAAAAATTTATAATGTATATACGTGAGCCTGCATGAGTATATCTTTAGAGTATGTGCTCAGGAGCCCATGGAGGCCGAAAGAATATCAGATCCCATGGAGCTAGAGTTATAGGCAGTGAGCCACCATGTGGGCACTAGGAACTGAACCTTGGTCCTCCGAGGGCAGTGTATGCTCTTAATTGCTAAGTCATCTCTCCAGTCCCCAGAACACAATTATTATACAAGTTGTCGTTAGTTACTTATGGAAATATGCTTTGAAGTGCTAAAAAACAGTAGAATTTATTGACCGAAGACTTAGATTTGAATTCTAATTTCATTTTCCTGATGGCTTTGTGATCCTAACTGTTCTCTAACCTTTTATCTTTTTTCTACCATTATTTGCAGGATTACCTCTAGATATAAAAGTGCCATTTATGTAATCTGACAACCTTTTCAGGAGCTGTTTGCTACTAAACAATCCTCTTATACAAAAGTGAATGGCAGTTTCCTTTTAAAGTTCCTGTAGGCTGCCAGAGATGGTCATGGAAACAGCCATGTACAGTTCAGTGAAATAGGAGCTTAGAAGACTTATATGGAGTCCAGTGAATGTACAGAAGATTAAGTAGTTGTAATTAGGATGAGTATATAAATATTTCAGTTAAAAGGTCCCTTGGGATGTAGCTCTGTTGATGGAGTGCTTGCCTGGCTTTTATAAAGCCTTAGGTTTGATCCCCCAGTACCACATAAACAAATGCTTTGGCACTCACCTGTAGTTGAGGCTCTTGGGAGGGAGAGGCAACAGGATTAGAAGTATAAGGTTTTTCTCAGGTCTTTAATGCATGATAGATTTCCCTCATATATGAGAAGTCTTTCCTATTACAAATTTGTTTTTTAGTGGTGATGCTGAGGAGGGAGGCCAAGTCCTCACATATGTTGAGTGAGTATTCTCCCACTGAGTGACACTCCCAACCCTATGAGTATTTCTTGATTGCCTGCAGCAGCCATGTGTTTTGTATTACGGCACTCCGCAACTTTCACATTGCACTGCAGTGCCATTAAAATGTGACGCCCCTTAATCAGTTCTAGTGTTTAATTGTGGGACTGTATTGAATCTTTCCATGGTAGATTTAGTTTCTGTCAGAAACTTTATGATAATAACCTCAGTAGATTATGACCTATGAACCTCAAAGTAACCTTGCAAGTCCCAGTGTATATGGAGATGCTTAATCACAAAATATGTTTTGAATATTTCCTGTGTGACAGAATTTTAATGCAGTGTATTCTGTTTGGAAAGACGAGGGAAAACCCAGTATGTGACTCTAGAAAAAATTGGAGATACGAGCTGGATCTATTTTTAAGTGGTAATATGATGGGAGTCTGTTAGGCATGTAGGTAAGATGTAAGCTGTGTTCAGGTTAGTGCATATGCTGAGGAGAGTCTCACCAGCTTATCCCTGTGATTAGCTCTTTTTGGGGAGCAGGGAGAGTTCAAGACAAGGTTTCTCTGTGTAGCCCTGGCTGTCCTGGAGCTCACTCTGTAGACCAGGCTAGCCTAGAACTCAGAGATCGTCCTATTCTGCATCCCGAGTGGTTAAAGGTATGGATTAGCTCTTAGAGTGCTCCACTTTTGTTCCTTGTGAGTGGAGTCAAGTGGTGCTATATTGAGACAGGCATGAGATACAGTGGTGAAGTCTGTAAATTGTATTTTAACTGCAAGTGTCAAAAAGCTATCTCCTATCTGATTGGAGTAGAGATGGTAACTGCACAAATTGTTTAACTTTGTACTGCTGCTTCAGATGCCTCATGCATGATAAGAAGATGATCTCTACCTCTGAGTATATTACATAACTGAATATGTATGGAGTGTTTGGACGGGTGCTTGGCACATAGTAACCAATATATGTTAGTTATCACCATCATTCTGAAGCAGCAATTATGTTTAATCTGTGCCTCCTGTAGACACCTGACAGTGTGATACTAGAAAAAAAACTTTTTTTTTTTTTTTTTTTTTTTTTGAGGCAGGATTTCTCTGTGGCTTTGGAGGCTGTCCTGGAACTAGCTCTTGTAGACCAGGCTGGTCTCGAACTCACAGAGATCCACCTGCCTCTGCCTCCTGAGTGCTGGGATTTAAAGGCGTGTGCCACCACTGCCCAGCTAGAAATAAACTTTTAATAAAAGTCTCATATTGATTACTTCTGTGCAGAAAATGTTTATTTACTTGTTTATTGGAAATGTCTGGGCCATGGTGCTTCCATGTAGTAGAAGACAACTTTTAAGAGTGAGTTCTCTCTTTACCCTGTGGGTCCCGGGGGTCAAACTCAGGTTGGCAGGCTTAGCAGCAAGCCTAAGCTATCAATGTGAGTGGCTCCCATTCTTTTCTTTCCCTTCCTTTCTTTCTTTTTCCTTTCCTTTCTTTTTCTTTTTTTGTGGGGGAGGGTTCAAGTCAAGGTTTCTCTGTATAACAGTCCTGGCTGTACTGGAACTCACTTTGTAGACCAGGCTGGCCTTGAACTCAGAGATTCACCTGTCTCTGCCTCCCAAATGCTGGGATTAAAGGCATGTGCCACCACTGCCTGTGTCCTCTTTTTTTTCTTAAAGACAGGATCTAAGCCTGGCCCAAATTCCCTATATAGCGCAGGCTGACTGTAAGCGTTTCGTCGGGATGGGTCATGACAGGATGGAACAGGAGTGGGTCAGGTATTCTGGCACTCGGGAGTCACAGAATACTCAGTGTTACACAGCTCAGGTGGAAAGGCATCCTGGAGCTCGGGAGCCAAGGATACTGAGTGTTACACAGCTCAGGTAGAAAGGTGTCCTGGAGCTCGGGAGCCAAGGATACTGAGTGTTACACAGCTCAGGTAGAAAGGTGTCCTGGAGCTCGGGAGCCAAGGACCACCACAGGTTGCAGTAAGCTTGGCAGCTTACAGCCTTGCCTCAGAGAAAGGCTTCTCCGGTGTGTCAGCTCCGCTCCGGCAGGACAGGGTCTTCCAGCTGGGGATGTTCGCCTAGTGTAGCAGTTTTCTACACTAGGTTTCTCGGGCGAAGTTGCTACAGTTCAGCTCTGCTCCTGGAGAGCCGAGAGCGGAGGAGAGCGGAGAGCAGGGAGCCGGGAGCAGAGTGTAACAACTCTGCTCTGCCAAGGAAGGTTTCCCGGGCAAGTGTTACAGCGCTGCTAGCTCTGCTCTGCCCAGGGTCGCCTCTGCTCTGTCACCGCCACAAAAGAAGATCTTCACCCGAAGCTCATCCAAAGGTGTTTATTGGAAGACAGCTGGACCAGCCAAGCTGAACACACAGGGTTTATATAGGGATTCCTGGGGTTGGGGAAGTTTTTCCAGAGTAGGGATTGGTCCTATTTCAGTGCTGAGCTCAGATTGGCTAGAGCTCTGCTCCAGGATTGGTTACTTTTTTACACAGGATAGGGTCAGATTTGGCTCTGGTTTCAGAGCCAAAGTGTGTTTCTTTCTCTGGTCCTTTTTAGCCTTTTGGCTCCAATTTTAGGGCCAGGGTACACTTCTTTCACTGACTCTGATTCCAGGGACAAAGTGTGTTCCTTTGGCACTGGTTTTAGGGTCAGGGTACATTTCTTTGGTTGTGGTTGCAGGGCCAAAGTGTGTTTCTTTGGCTCTGCTCAGGGTGTGTTTCTTTGACTGGTCCCTTTTCCCTACACTGACAATGAGCAGGAAACATTTTGGAAGGTATTAGTGCCTTCTATGTTTTTTTAGGGAAAGAGTTTATGATTTTTAGTGTATGAGTCCTTGATCTTCTTGCCTCCACTTCCCAAGGGTTGAATTTAAGGTTAATCTGTATTTCTTTGTCTGTGGTGTATTTATATACCATGTTAATTATTTTCTGAGGTTGTGGTTTGTAGGGAGGTGGGCAGTTAGAGCAGGTGTCACTTAGTTCAAGCTAACCTTGGCTTTGCTGTATAGTTGACAATGACTTTGAATTCCTGCTCCTCCTGCCTCTGCTTGCAGAAGTGCCGGTATTACAGGTATTACAGCCATTCCCTGCAGTGGTTAGCCATTTCCTATCCCGGTATCAGAGATATTTACATATAAGAAGACAGATTAGTTGAGGTCAGAGGACATGTTTGGGAGATGGTTTTCTCCCTCCTCTGTGTGGATTCAAGGGACTGAATCCAGCTCATAAATTTGACAATGAGCACTTGTACTTGATGATCCATCTTGCCAGTCTAATCTTTGCTGTTTCTAATTTCAAGTTTTGTGTGTGTGTGTGTGTGTGTGTGTGTGTGTGTGTGTGTGTGTGTGTGTGTGTGTGTGTGTTTACCGAGACAGGGTTTCTCTGTGGCTTTGGAGGCTGTCCTGAAACTAGCTCACAATTGTAGACCAGGCTGGTCTCAAACTCACAGAGATCTGCTTGCCTCTGCCTCCTGAGTGCTGGGATTAAAGGCGTGCACCACCACGCCCAGCTTGTGTTTTGTTTTGTCACAACAGGATTTCTCTGTGTCATCCTAGTTGTCCCTATGCTCACTCTGTAGGCCAGGCTGTAGACTCAGAGATGTGCCTGATTATGCTTCCTGACTGTGCCACCACTACCCAGCTATTTTTTGTCTTAATTTAACAGGGAAATATATTTTGACAGGTTTCTTCTTCTTGTTCTTCTGTAAACAGGGTCTTCAGGAAACCTCTATTTTATGATGAAGTAGCATTAGGAAAATAAATAACGTATTCCTTGAGCAAAGCAATATATTCATTATTAAATCTGACAAATACTACATAGTAGATAGTTTACCTTTGTCATAGTAGATAATTATTTCATGTTGTGCAGTCCTTGTTGCTGTTCTT